TTTAAGAAATTTTCCCAGAAAAAATTTGTTAAAAGTTGAGATATTTCCAAAAAACATGGAAAAATCAAAACTTCTGAAAATAAATAGGTTAGATAGAGTTACTAGATTTGAAAATTCTTGAAAAATGTCCCAAAAAATTCTTTTTTGAAAATTTGAACCTAACATGGGGCGGTACTGCTACAATCGTTGGCTCAGATTCTTTTTCTTTCTCGTGCCCACAGCCCTCGCCAGACTGACCACACCAGGGAGCCACCTGCTGAAAGGCTCCCTTTCCTGCCAAAGAGCGCGCGCCCCGGTGCCATAGGCACCCAGCGGGCTAGTTGCTCATTGCACAGGACCGGAAGGTTTGCTCTCCTGTCCCGGGGGACAATCGCCCGGGTCAAAGCGGCGATGGGTAGATAGGCCGAGCAAAGCCGAGAGGTGGGGGCGGTGGAGGGAGGTATCGCGCAGCACCGGCACCTTGCCGCCGACTGCCTTCTTTTCCTTCTCTCCCACGAAGGACGCAACAACAACTCGTCCGTTGTGCCATTTCGTGTGGTGCGAGCCGAGCCGAGCTGGCCCGGCTTGAGCCGAGTGCAGCCGAGCCTGGCGCCGAGCCTGGCGCCGAGCCGAGAGCCGGTGGTGCGGAGGGAGAGGGCTGGTCGGGCCGGCCGCCGCGCTGGACGAGTGGGTGGCGAAACACAGCCAAGGTCCTCGCGGCACCGCGCCGCCGCGCCCCGCCGCGCCCCGCCGCCGCGCCCCGCCGCGCCCTCCAGGCGGGCCGGGGGGTCGCCGAGATAGGTGAGAGGTTAGGCGAGCCCCGCGACGGCCTCGGGCGTGGGAACACCCGCGGCGCCGGGCAGAGCAAAACGCGTCGGGGAGCCGGACAAGCAGCAGAGTCAAGGGCATAGCTGGGCGCGCGACACTCACAGAGCAGCTGGACACCATCGCCGCCGAGCACGTACCCCCTACTGGCGGCAACGGGACTCTGCTGCGGGACACGACAACTGGGCGCGCGACCGCCGGTCAAGAGATAGGATTAGATCACTACAGCGGGACTCAGGCAGGACTCGGGACCACGAACACTATCGCTATCGGTCCGAAAGGCCACTCGACCGGACCGTTGACCGGGCCGTTGACCCGTTGAGCCGGACGGGCCGGGCGTATGTGTGAGACACCACACCACTTACCTGGCCGATGACTTTCCGCCGGTTAGTATCCCACACTGCACCACACGCACACACGCACACACCACCGGCACTTTAGCACATTGCTCGGGCGCGCGGGCTGCTGTCGCCGCGCTCTCGACGGGCACTTCGGAGGAGCGCGCTACGCGCGGGTCGGTCGCTATGGCTCCGGCTGCCCCCCGCCGCCGCCGCACTGGAACTGGAGCCAGGGCCCGGCACGGGCTCCGGGCGGCCCGCGGCCCGGCGCCCCACCACGCCCCGGCCGGTCGCTGCACCTGCCCCTCACCTGCCCCCCTGTCCTCTCTCCCCCTCCCCCTTTTAACTCGCGGTGTGCAGTGAAGGGCCGCTAGCGGGTGGCGGGGCGGGGGGCGTATGGAAGTAAGTCGCACCGGTCGCACCCCTCCCCTCCCTCCCGACCGGCGGTACTTGGACTTGTTTGCAGCCGCGGCGCCGGCAGACAAGTCACTTGGCGAGAAAAGAGTGAAAAGGGCGTAAGTCCTCGGACTTTTCATTGGACGTACGCCCTTTTCACTTGTAGTGAAGTGCCGAGACGCAGTGGTGGGTCGCGCGGGGCTCTAAACAGCCGAGCCACCCGCGTGCGGGGGGCTGGGGTCCTAATCTGCGGAGGCTTGTTAACACCTCTCTTTCTCTCACCCCTTTTCACTCCAGTCAGTGTCAGTCAGTCTGTGCAGTCAGTCAGTGACTCAGTCGCTGTCAGTCATTCAGTTGCACTTCGCACTCGTTTTACTCTCTCGGAGGCCGGGCTTGTGATTGCTCATTCTCATTTCGCTCACGCCCGGCTCGCGCTGGCCGCGTGCGCGTTAGTGTCTCCTAAGGACGCGGCCGGGCCGGGAGGAAGGCGCTAACGTGCAGGCACGCGTGTTGTTGCAACGCGGCGGGAGAACTAGGAGGCCGAGTACCTCGGGCTCGGGATCCCGTGTGTGAGTGTGTGTCCTGTGTGCTGAATACGGCGCGGGGCGAAATGGGAAAGGTGTCGGTGTGTGTGAGAGGGGGCGAGGGAGGAGGGGGGGGGAGGAGCATTATCAAATGAACTGCTGAGAGAAGGGGGGGGGGGTGCTGCGCAGCGCTGAGATCGCCCGTGCGGTGGGATGCGGCGAGGCGCTGGGTCGGCCGGCCCGCAAGCCACCCACGTACAACGGGCCTGCCTATCTCCCAGGCGATCCAAGCGGCGTGCTTCTCTGTCTGTCTGTCTGTCTGTCTGTCTGTCTGTCTGTCTGTCTGTCTGTCTGTCTGTCTGTCTGTCTGTCTGTCTGTCTGTCTGTCTGTCTCTATCTTTCTCTCTCTCTTGCTCTGAGCTGAGGTGGGCTCGAGGACATGGGTGAAATAAACTGCAAAATGAGCAAACGTAAACGTTTCGGCATGGCTGCTTTCTTCAGGGGGGAGGAGGGCAGCCTCCGCAAAGAACTTGATTTATTTTCAATAAATAACAATGACTTTGTACAAAATTAACAATTATTATTACATGGACTTGATGGGATGACACTGAGAACGAGAAACGAACATGCGGTCCAAGTCTTTCAGA